TGGTAATCTCATAGGATTAGCTTGAAAGCCATGCTATACCTTTAGCCCTCGGAATGAACTATGTGGATTGAATAACTTGAACTATCTAAAAGAAAAAGGTATGTTAGTCCTTGATTGCTCTTTTCATTTGTTTTATTTTTTTTTTTTCTTATTGCCATGTATGCTGGGGGGAAATTGAAAAAAAAGAACATTTTTTAAAACTATAATTACCAATCAGAGAAAATTAAAGCTATTTTTAGTGCACTGTGCACAATATATCCTTCTAGATCTTTTGCTGTGTACATTTATACTTTTTCCCCATAAGAACAGAAACATTCTGAACATATACTTTTATTTTTTTCATATTCTATTTATATGCCCCTTGTGCAGGGAAATGGTAGATCATTTCACAAATCCAGGTTTCTCCAACTACCTAGTTGAGCAAGAATAGACGATAGATAGATATAGATAGATAGATAGATAGATAGATGGATGGATTATAGAATGGATAGCCTCCAGGGTTTGAATTTATCTGTGTCCCCTATCAGTAAGGTAAATCCGTATTTGGTATGAGAGCCAGCCAAAACTAGGCTGCAAATATCTGCTTCTGCCCCCCATGTCAAGGACATTTTTATGTCAATAAATACTTATTTATAATATTATTTTCAAAGATATAGTCTACTTTATTGATGAACATAACTGATTTAAACACCCTCAACTATTGTACATTTCTGAGGTTTTATGTGTATGAGTGTATTGTTATTATAATCAATTCTGCAGTAAATGCTATCGCTAAATTTGTACACGTTGCTAAATTTTCCTTTAGGACATACCTAAAAGTAGAATAGAGAGGTTAAAAGCTCCTCTGGGCTTTTTTAAAGGCTTTTGATACATATTGCCAGATCGCCCTTCAGAAGTCCCTCACTGAGACCCCAACAGCTGCACTGGAAATTTACCAGATCCTTAGAAACACTCTCTTTTAATGGATCTGTGTTTTCTTAATCACCTTGAGCATTCCAAATGATCACCCATGTTTACAGATTTTTTTTTTTTTACTGCAAAGTATTTCATGAATCCAGAGTCATAAAGCTTTAAAAATTTTGGTTAATAGCTTGTTTGCTTACAGCATTGTTTGCTTGTAGTTTTTTTTTTTTTTTTAAGATTTTATTTATTTATTTGATAGAGTGAGATCACAAGTAGGCAGAGAGGCAGGCAGAGAGAGAGAGGAGGAAGCAGGCTCCCTGCCAAGCAGAAAGCCCGATGCGGGACTCAATCCCAGGACCCTGAGATCATGACCTGAGCCGAAGGCAGAGGCCTAACCCACTGAGCCAGCCAGGCGCCCCTGTTTGTTTATAGTTTTATGTGATGACGAGCAGGAAAAGTCAAGGAAACCTATAGCAATACTCTAGCCTCAGTCTCCCTCTTGTCAAAACACAGCACTGGAGGGTAGCTATTCAAAACTCATCCCTAGTGATCTCGAAGGTTCTAGAAGATGAAGAGTAGATCCATCTTACAAAACTTTATTTTATTTTATTTTATTTTATTTATTTATTTGACAGACAGAGACCACAAGTAGGCAGAGAGGCAGAGAGAGAGGGGGAAGCGGCTCCCTGCTGAGCAGAGAACCTGATTCGGGGCTCGATCCCAGGACCCTAGGATCATGACCCGGGCCAAAGGCAGAGGCTTAACCCACTGAGCCACCCAGGTGCCCCAAAACTTTTAATGCAGATAATGCATTATCCAAGTTGTTAGGCTGAAGAGAATACACTTCTGTAAAACCAAAATGTCATTAACTTTATCTACAAACTGATTTATCAGTTACAGTTAGTATTTTATTGTATCCTGCTTAATTTTGGATGAGTTCTTTATGGCTTTAATAGCCAACCGTAAAAATTAAAATGCAAAAATCGTAAGGTACATTAAGTAATATTTTGTGAGTATGTCTTTCACTTCCTTGGGTGGGAATAACTTAAGAGGCTGTTTTCCTTTTTTTTTTTTTTTTTTAAGATTTTATTTATTTGATAGAGATCACAAGTAGGCAGAGAGGCAGGCAGAGAGAGAGAGAGGAAGGGAAGCAGGCTCCCTGCTGAGCAGAAATGCAGGGCTCCATCCCAGGACCTTGGGATCATGACCTGAGCTGAAGGCAGAGGCTTTAACCCACTGAGTGGGTTAACCCAGGTGCCCCAAGAGGCTGTTTTCAAAAAGCATGTATTTGAGGGAAAGATGCCTCCATGACAAGAGTAGTGAGTTTTTCTGACGTGTTATATGCAGCACGTTATTCTTTTGAAAACCTTAGTTTCAGCTAAACTTTAACTTTTCTAGGCTTTTCTGATGACAACATACAGTGAAAATTGTATGTTGCATTTCCGTGTTTATTTGCCCAGAATCCATGGGATAAGAAATATCACAGGGCAGCAAAGCATATCATAGTTAGAGGGGACCTTGCAGAAACTCCAGTTTCTGGTTTAATGTTTAATGTTTAATGGCTGCTGAATGGAAATGGCAGCAGTGGTGGTGATGGTGGTGATAATGAGGAGAAGATGCGGGAGACTAATTCTTGGAGATCTTACGTGGCTGGCATTCGGTTTAGTGCTTTACTTAACATCTTCTCATTTACTGAGAAAATTAAGTATCAAAAAAGGCTAACTCTCCCAAATGAGTTAGCCAAAGATCAAACCCAGATTTCCCAACTCTCCGTGACGTCCGCTGTCCATTGTGTTAACGGTGGCTATCCTAAAGAGATTATAGACATTTTAATTTCAAAAGTATATAAATTTATAACTACAAATATCATTTCTACTGTTGCTGTTAGGTATTTATATGGTGCATGTTGAAGGGCTTTAGCCTTATTCTATCTGTTGCCCATATTACTTAATAAAAATTATTATGATTTCAATTTATTAAATTTTTACTTTAGAGATATTATCCCTATTCTTTAAAAGAAGAAGGGAAAATAGAGTATTCTTATGTTACAAATGAGGAATCTGAGGCTCAGAGTAGAGCAATTAACTCTTTCAAGGAAGTCCGTTAAGTAACAGCAAAACTGGGAGTCCAGCCCGTATCTTTTCACCTCCCAAACTCTTTCTCTTTTATTCTATTGTTGTTTATTAAAGAATAGTAAAATCAAACAAACTTGAAAATGATTAATTTGGGGTATTATAGAAACATATACACTGTTCTCTCTTTTGGCCAATTTATGCCTTATTTCTTCTTAAACTAATGTGAGGAGTAAAATAGTACAGTTTACTGTATTTTTTAAAGATTTCCTTTTTTATTTAACAGAGAAAGAGAGTATGTGAAAGCACAAGTTGGGGGAGCAGGAGAGGGAGGGCGGAGAAGCTGGCTCCCCATTGATCAGGGAGCCCAATGCAGGGCTTGATTCCAGGACCCTGAGATAGTGAACTTAGTCGAAGGTAGACGCTTAACTGACTGAGCCACCTAGGCGCCCCTAGTTTACTATATTTTTAAAACAGTGTTACACTAGACCTTTCCCCTCTGAAATACTTGAAGAAAATAAACATAAAATTAACATGTGGTCCTGGCCTTTTAGGAGATTTTACTCTAAGATGAAGTAAAAACAAATTTTTTTTTAGGAAGACTGAGAAATTAAATGAGAAATAAGAGTTTATCTCAATAGGTCAGTTTTCTAATTCCCATTCTTTAAATGACATATAAAGATATTTCTAGGGCTCCTGTGTGGCTCAGTCGGTTAAGTGTCTGCAGACGCTTCGGTCCTGATCTCAGGGTGCGGAGATCGAGCCTCACATTAGGGCTTCCTGCTGAGCAAGAAGTCTGCTTCTGCCTCTGCCTCACCTCCTCCCTGCCCAGGCTCTCTCTCTCTCTCAAATAAATACATAAAATCTTTATGAAAAAAAATATATTTCTAATGTTTCTTGATTTTTTTCTTTTCTTTTGCTGCTATAATTATGTTATTCACTCATACTATCAAAACCAAATTAAAGCAGAAGTTATTACTCTAATCCTGAGTCAGAATGATATGCAAATAAGTCTTCCCATTCCTGCAACCCAGGCCACATTTTTCACATTCTCTCAGGTTTTGGGGGCCAGCTGGATAGTCTGCTTCCAGATTCTTCAAACCCCTGTACTACTTCCCACCACACTTCAATGACCACAGAAAAATCAAGGGTCCTGTCTTTAGTTACTCCCATTGGCAGTGTTAGTCTACAGACTACCGCCAATGGAGTAATCAGTAATCAGTGCTAACACTGCCAATGGGAGTAAGAAGCTAATCAGTAATCGTCACCAGTAATCAGTAATCGTTAATCAGCTCACATACTTCATTGAGACATTGATTGCTTTCTGACCATATTGCCTAGAGATCTGATAATGAGGTTTCCTTCTTTCAAATGAATGCAAGAGGGAAATCTTCCTTTTCTTTATTTTTGGAGAATAGAAAGCAATAAATACGAAATTCTGTTAGGTGAAATAACTTATTTTTAATTCAAAACTAATGAAAACATCAATCTCTGTTAGAAAATTTAACCATTATTAGATAACTCATAAAGCTTATGAGACAGAGAAGAACTTATGTTGAAGGGCCACTCTTAGCAGTGGATGCTGTTATTTTTATTTTTTTGAAGAATTTTCCCACTCATGTAATTTCTTTTTGAAGGCAATAGGAAAGGAGACTGGAGAAGTATGCTTTTGGAAACGTCTTTCTTTGCTGTACAGCTTTCTCTGCAGCATACTTGCCCTTGCTGGACAGTATATTATCTTAAATAAGCCCTCTGATTTTTTTGTGAATATTTATTTTTCCCTCCGTGGCCATACAAACCGGTGCCTTCTGTGACAGCGGAAATAAAATCATGATTATTAGTTTCCATAGTTGCGTGAGCCTGACCCTGAATTCAAGACCGTGGTACTTGCAAATGATTAAACCCTAAAAATAGATCCCATAAATGATATCATTTAGTTAGACTCCAGACGTTTCATCTAAAATACATTTTCTGTCTTTTCCTTTTCACTCTTGCCCTCCCTTTTAACGATCCATCGGCCTACAGTGTCTTTACATCCAAAATGCAAAGCAGACAAATGGGCATCTCCGGCAAGAACATGACCAAAAGCACCAGCATCAGTGGAGACATGTGCTCGCTGGAGAAGACGGACGGCAGCCAGTCGGACACGGCGGTGGGGGCCCTGGGCACCGGCGGCAAAAAGCGACGCTCTAGCATTGGGGCCAAAATGGTAGCTATTGTTGGCCTCTCCCGGAAAAGTCGCAGTGCTTCTCAGCTCAGCCAAACGGGTAGGCATTTTTACGTTACTTTTGACTTCGTATGTGAGTTGTCATTAAAGTACACATTCTTTTCTCCTGCTCGTTATCTTGCAGTCATTAATGGAAGATGACACGTTCCAGAGAGATAGGGGGCCTTTTAAACCTGTTAACCTTTCTGGAAATAAAGCAATAACTTTGTTTTTCAGTGACGAATGAGCCTTCTTTGAAGCGAACCCTGGCCCCTGTTCTTGAGAGGCACAAAATGTCTTTCCTCCTCAGGGAGGAGTTGAGCTGTGGGAGCTGGATTGCCAGTGGCTGACCCTTTGCAAAGATGATCTGCTCTGTGAAATACTTGCTTTTCTTAGGTTCCTCAAGAGGGAACCAGCCAAATTAATTTTCATTCTCAGCAAGTTACCATGATGAAGATGACACCTCATCTTTTGTGTGAATCATATAGATCTTTTATTGCTGATGACCTAACTTCTTTTTCAGGTTGTAAGCAGCATTTACCAGTAGTATCAATTTTCTTACTGCAGTTCTTATTTCCCTGTGAAAACGTCAAGCAGCAATATTCTCCAGCAGCAGGGATGGAGGAATTTTCTGCTGATAGTGAAGATATTCAGAGCTTTGCTACTTTAAAATTCAGTTTCTAAATCACATCTGCAAAAATAAATTAGATACAGTGCTCCTACTCCTGCTCAGAAAAGCCACAGCTAGCAATTAAGAAATTTGTGAGTCAAAGCAATGGTTTTTCAAATGGTTGTTGATAATTAAACATTAAATCCCTGGTATCTTGGAAATAATAACATATCTTCTACTTAACAAACAAACAAAAGCATGTAATATGGTGTTTCTCTTACAGCAAATAAATTATAGGCAAATGGGTAAAATCTTATTTATGTTTGAATTACTAGGGTTCTTATACACAGAAATCAGGACAAAAATCTGCAATCCAAAAGAATTTAAGGATACATTAAATTTCTGGACCCGGCTACTCTTGATTTTATATAATTATAACAGCAATTCTGGAATCTGAGCCTTATATAATAATATCATATTGAAATAGTTATTTGATGGTTTTCCTTATATCGTGGTTGTAAGTCACTATGTTCAATGTGGCTATTGACAGGAATTTTTCATTTGGTGTTTTAAAGTGTTATTTTTCATTTTAATATACAAATAAAAATTTAATTTATGGACATAAAGAATATATTTCAATGATTTTTAAAATTGCTAATATTTATACATAATTAGCTACATTACATGATAGATGGTGGCCTTTTGAAATTGAGGTCTTTTTTATATATCTCTAGCAGTTAGAACTTCATTGCATTTTTTTCCCTTAAAACTTGTAAATACCTATAACCTGAAAACTGTTCTAAAAATAAAGCCTAGAAATGAAAAAAATACAGAACCTAAACCTAAAACAGATATTCATAACTTTATATAAGTTAGAGAATACGTGGTGTTAAACTAACTAATTGTTTCCACTGGTTCAGGGTTTTTGGATAAATATTGAGCACCTACTATGTGCCAGACACATGGAGAACAAAGATGGTATTTATCATCATAAAAATAAATATCACTGTAACCAGAATGGGTTTTCAGACAAGACTGCTTACTTGCCTTCTAAAGAGTAGAATACTCAGCAAAATGGGATCTTTCTAAAAAATAGTGAAATTATTCCATATGATATCATCGCAATCATATGTAAACAATAACTGTCAAAAGAGAAACCATTTATGAAGGTATGTTGTCCAGTACACATGGCCGCTAAGTCAGAGCTGTCTTCTGCCATGCTACTTGGTGTGCTGATTTGCCTGTTAATTGGAAACTCACCTTTAATGTCACCATTTCTAAAGATTAGATGTGACTTGCTAGACATTATTACTTAGCAGAAAACACATGGAAATAACAAGGACACTTGGATTCCATTGCTAACTTCGAGTTATATAAGACAATCGACTATAACCTCTTTAAAAACCTACCTGACGTACCTGAGTCATAGAATGTTCATCTGACAAATCTAACAAGGCTTTTTTTAAAGATAATATTTTAAAATGCATAAGAAAATGCTTTGAAAAGTTAAAATCATTTTGTAGGTTTAAGCTATCAATAGTCAATTCAGCCTCACAGGGGAATCAAGAATCTAGTTTAGACATGTTGATTTTGAGATGCCTGTCTAGACATGTAAGCAAGTTGTTACATGGTTAGTTCAAGTCCAGTTAGTATGAGTCCAGTTAGTATGAGTCCAGAGCCTAGTAGGTCACGACTAAGGATGTAATGTGGGAGTGATCACAGGTAGTATTTAAAGACACAGCGGGGGCACCTGGGTGGCTCAGTGGGTTAAGCCGCTGCTTTCGGCTCGGGTCGTGATCTCAGGGTCCTGGGATCGAGTCCCGCGTCGGGCTCTCTGCTCAGCGGGGAGCCTGCTTCCCTCTCTCTCTTTCTCTCTCTGCCTGCATCTCCATCTACTTGTGATCTCTCTCTGTCAAATAAAAAAAAAAAAAATTTAAAGACACAGCACTAGATACGATTACTTAAGGTAACTTTAGTGAAGAAGAATACTAAAGGGTGAGCTCAGGGATACTCCAACATTGGAAAATCAGAAGACAATTCATCAAAGAAGGCTCAAGGAAGAGCAGCCATTAAAAAGAGAGAGAGAGAAAGAGAAGAGAAGGAAAGAATATGGAATCTTGGTCACTAGATGAAGGAAATATTTTAAGAAAGATTATCAGTGTGTCAAGTGCTTCTGACAAGTAAGATGGAAGGTCAAGTAAGATGGAAGACGGAGAACTGACCTTGGACTTGGCAAGATGGGGAGTTTGGTAAACCTTGACAAACCTTACAGTGGTGGACAAGACCTTATTGGTGCAGGAGGGAAATGGGAGGTAAGGTAGAGTCAGTGAGAAGAATATCAAGAATAAAAATAAGAATATCTAATACTTATTGAACACTTTTGTGTGCAGGCACTATTCTAAGCACTTCACATGTAAATCATTTAAACCTCACAATAATGTGCTTGAGGCAGGAAATAATTACTACTATCCTCATTTTACAGATGAGAAAACCAAAGTGAGCAGAGGGGAATTAACTGTCCCAAGTATACTCAAGTAGTGAGGGTACACGTGGCGATTTGGATGCAGGTGCTATGGATTTGGAGACTTCACTCTTACTCTAGTGTGATCTAGACCAGCACTGTCCAATAGAATTCTTGGCAATGTGGGCAATTTTCTGTACCTGTGCTACCCAATATGGTATGGTAGCAATAGCCACACATAGCTACTGAGCATTTAAAATGTGCTACTATGACGGAGGAACTGATTTTCCATTTTATTTTTTTTGCAATTTTGATTTAATTAACATCAGTGTAAATAGGTGCATGTGACTAGTGACTATGGAGTTGGACAGTATAGATGGAAACAGCTCTTTCCAGGATTTTGATTAAAAAGGAAATATAGAAATAGGACTGTAGCAGGGTGTTTGGGTGGCTCAGTTGGTTAAGCGTCTGCTTTCAGCTCAGGTCGTGGTCTTGGGGTCGGGGGTCGAGTCCTGCAGTGAACTCCCTGCTCTCAGGGAGCCTGCTTTCTCCCTCTCTCTCTGCTTCTCCCCTGCGGCTTGTGCTCTCTTGCTCTCTCTGTCTAATAAACACATAAAAATCTTAGGAAAAAAAAAAAGAAATAGCACTGTAGCTTGGGGGAAATGAAGTAAAAAAAGAGTTTTGCTCTTCTGATGACAGACGGGATCTTTGTGGGAATGACTGAGCAGGTTGAAGATGTTGGATTCAGAGCTTAAAGTAGAGATCAGCTGTTATGACCTGTGGTCACTCAGGAAGCTATGCTCTCTTCTTTTCATCTTGTGATTTCTAAGCTGACACAGGACTTTATATTTACTCTAATGATAACACTTAGTAACTACCATCATTTATTTATTTCTCTGTTTTCTGGCTAGCCTGTTTTTTCATATTTTATGTGTCTTTCATACACATAAAATATTTTATGTGTCTTTTTAATTTATCTTTACATATATCTTTATATGTCTGGTATAGTTTCAGATGTAGTGCTCTTCAATGAAAAGCTCATGTACTTTTTGGGATGCATGATTAAGTTCCCTGGGGAAAAGGAAAGAAACTGATAAAAATTATTTTTATTTTTTAACCTAAAAGACGAAGAAGAAATTAAGCATTGTTAATATTTAGGACATACTTACCCCCTTGTGTTCTTGGTTGGTCTGGTTGTCAGATGGTCAGTGCCGTGTGCCTTTCCGGAGCCATTAGTTTAGTGAACCACCAGAAAGCGGCCAAGTGGCTTGAAAAGATCACTGCCATAAAACTGTGGATTGAGTGTAATTCTAATATTGCAATGGGGACAAACAAGGTAGACCTGAAACTTCTTTTCCTGTTCTAGCTTTTCATCAGCCACTGACGAAGTAGATAGAGTGCAAATCATCATTAATGCAAATCATTTTTCCTAATGATAAAGTAAGACTTTATATTCTCAGTAAGAATGTCTGAAGTGATGTGCATTATAATTTTCCAAACTATTGGTATGCCCAACAAACTCACTTCTCCTTTCTCCTGAGCACTTCCTAGACCGTATTCCCCAGCCTCCGTTTTCCTGCATCAGTTTTGTGATGGAGCTGTAGTCAACGGAATACAAGCACATACATAAATTTTAAAGAAGTCTCAAATTAACGCTACAAGATATAACATGTTAAGGATTCTCACAAAGAATGTGCATTGAGCCCTACGTGCAGGTCTGTTTCTCACTTTCGAAATAATGTTTTTGCAGTTACAATACTATCAGCCACAATTAATTAAAAGTATTGATAGTCATGCCACTATTTGTACTAAGTTCAAGTGGTTTAAATATAACAGATAAGGTAGACAGAATATTTTGTGTAAGTGAAAACTATTATGAACATATTATGGATTTTTAAAATTATGTTATGTTAGTCACCACATATTATGAATTGTAGTAAACTATTTCTATAGCAAACTGGGATGAGCAAGTAGCTAAGAACAATAGCTT